CTAGGGTGCTACATCTTGAATTGTTGACAACTTCTTGAGATCGCGTCTTCGAGCTTTGTCCGTTTCCGACGTAGGTGAAATTCTCTCTAAAAATCAAGTCCATTTATATGATTTATGGTTTCATTTATCAAGTCCCTTTCAATTAATGTTCCCACAGTATAGACATTTTGAAATGTGTCCAAACCAAGGTATTGTAAATGCCACTTGTATGGTGGAGACATATTGTCTATGAACTTTGGGACAAGTTCATGATCCGGAGGTCTTTGTGGAATAAGAGCAACCTTTGATCGCCACCTGGAAAAGAAGTCAATGAAGCCTTTTTCTTCCCCTTGCTTAAGAAATTCGAGATCACGCAAGGTTGTTGTGAGCTCGATGTTATCTCCATATTGGGTTAAAAACGCTTTTACAACATCACTCCAAGTGGAAGTTTGTTTTGCATCGAGGTTATAAAACCATGATCTAGAAGTTGGTTCCAATGAAAGAGGAAAAGTACATACATAAAGGCTTGGCCCAACCCCTTTCAATGCCATAATTCCAATAAAGCTCATAAAGTGAGTCTATGGTTGTCTGTAACTTTGAAGGTTGGCAAATCCGTAGTCAAGAACTTTTCTGGAAGAGTCTTGCCACTAGATTGTGGTGCAAGCTCATAATTGAAGTACTTATTCTCTGAGTTACCTCGAAGGACAAGTTTCTCAAAGGCCTCTACTCTTTCGGCTCTTGCTTTTTCTTGCAGAATGTTTTCTTTTTCTTTTTTAGCTTTTATTTTAGCCTTTTCTGCTTTTTAAGAGCCTTCATTTGGGGTTCTTCTCCTCGTAGGGCCTTTAGGTTTTGGAGTTCCTCTCTAAGTTTCTCCAATGCTGCTTTGTCACCCATGATTGGACTAGTATGCGAATGTGGAAGATGATCTAGTAATGTGTATCACGAGAAATTGAGCGCGTTCACTTAAACCTTTTCTGCCAAGCATTCAAACAAAGAACTAAAGTCAAAATGATTTTTTTTTTCTTTTTTTTAATCCTTGTAATACGAATTCACTTTATGCAAGTTTCTTGATAAAGAATGTCAAAAAACAATTCACGAACAATCATTAATGGAATGTCATGATTTGTGTTGACTTCAACAAGGTAATCATCTAAGGATTTTACTTTAAATGAATTGTTTTCGAAAAAGGTAGAAGAGAAAGTCAAGAAAGTTGGATTGAAAATGCTCATCAAATTTTTAGAAATATTAATCGACCCGAAAACACTCCTTAAAATGATCAAATATACTATGGTATTTGTTGATCATTTAGATTACAATAAAGATCAATATTGTTTTTTTTTTTTAATTATGATTCTCATATTGCTTATCTTTAAAGGATAACATATTACTATTTGTTTAAAAAGAATGATGGCCTCCGAATGTAAAATCCAAGAAATAATTAAATTATTTTCTCGATTTTATCATTCATTATCTTCTCTTATTTTTTTAGAATAATATTTTTTTTGTATCATACTTTTTTTTTTTAAGAACGACATTTCTTTTTTTTTTTTTAAGAACGATTTTTTTTTTTTTTGAGGCAATCATCCCAAGTAAAGTTATGAGGATTTTCTTTTTAAACCATAGAAGAGGTAAATAAATTATACTCTCAAATCAAGTTTGACCAATTACAATTAAAAAAATGATGAACACGAAAATAGGCACATTTAAGAATAAACATATTGATAACGTCCTATTAAGAGATGCAACCTTCTAATGACGAACCTCATAAGAAGTAATGTCATTAGCTCGATTATAAAGTACTTAAACGAATCATCATAATCAAATATAGTATTGCGCACAATTTTCCATCTTGCGCTAAGGTGGAAAGTGCAACTTCAACAGTAGCATCTGCCACATGCTTTTTTTTTTCTTTTTTTTTAAACGCAAAAAGAACAATAAAAAATATTTTTTGTTTTTTTTTTGCGAAAACGCAAAAAGAACGATAAAAAAACATGTTTTTTGAAAAAAAGATGATCATAGTAAAATTTAGACACGTTGTTAGCCAAAGAGATATTTTTAACACCTACTTAACGATTAACCTTGAAGCGGTAGTATCATTTTCTCCGTATGATATTGCTCGTAACGAGTCAAAGTCAACGTTGAATAGTGGGCGCGCGCAAGACACAGTGTTGCGCGAGGTAACAATTTGGAATTAGTTAGATTAAACACGAAGCACATATTCATGTAGTCACATAAGCACATAAACGGAACCGTCAAAGCATACAATGCCATTCTAAGGTCAAGGCTTGGGTGTCCAAGGGTACCATATCTTAAGAAACGATGCACAAATCAATCACTCAACGTGTTGACTCATGACATCGCCCTCTCAACATTTTGTTGACGATATGGGTGGGATTATTGTTATTGATTTCAAGATAGAAGCCTAGTGTTGGCAACCCCTAGTCAATGAGCCAATCCCCAATGGTTAAACTATGCTATGATTATACATGATGCAATGTTGCTTGTTCGGTTTTTACTTTTGTGAAAAGGAAGATATTATGCGTTTGAGTCTCGCTCTCTAACTAGAGATTATCCAAGTTAGTTCTCGTTACAATCCATAGGCAACCTAGTGTTGGAAACCTTGAACCATAACTACGAACTACTCTGGTAACCTCTAAGTCCCCAGCAGAGTCGCCACGTAAGGAGGGTGATCCCATTGTAAGGGATACTATCCTTAAGTGCCCTTGGCCGCTTAAAAGCCTAGGACTTTACACTTGTTAGGGTGTATTAGGATTTGAATTCTTGACTGTTTGGGAGACCTTGAATAAGAAATTATACTCTCATCACGCTTTTTTGTAAGAAACAAGTAGGAGTCGCCAATGAGTTTTAGGAAAACTCATAAACCTCGTTCATGCCTTTCTTCCATGTGGAGTTCATGGAATAATTAGGACGAATCATAAGTTTACCCATGCCCTCTTCATAAACCAGAAATGAGTTCGGGAACGAGTGTACTAAGATAACGTTCCCTTTAGAGTGGAATCGCTATCTTAGCCCTAGTACAGCCTCTACTAGCTCGTCCTTTTTCACAATTTCATTACCAAACAATATATGCAACGTGATACCTAAAGATTAAGTTAGTTGATTTTATTTACAATCATTAATCACTTAGGAATTACATTGCAAAAGTCGTTATTCTTATATAATAATATTCGTGATAAATAAACAAGATTTGCCTTGTCTTAAGTAATAAAACAACAATTAATTATTCAAATTCTAGTCTTGATTAACGAAATAGTACTATGTGAATTAGTTAATTAATTAATTAATAGTATGTTTAAAATGATAAAATAACACTAATAAATCAATTAAAGTTATTTAAACAACAAAAGAAAAGTGATTTATCTATATGCTGAGGAAACTAACCGTTCTTCTTTTATGTTAAATATACGTTTTAATATGTTTATGGACTTTATTTCTTCATTGTACCTCCAAGGACCTCAATGGAATCAGTTAGGGTTTGAAAGTATTTGGGAAGAGAGAATAAAAAGGTAGTATGATAGAAAGAAAAGTTGAGAGATTAGGGTTTTGAGAATATTAGGGATTTAATTCTGAATTTTTCGGTCCCCGTAATGCTGAACGAAGACCCCTATTTATAGGCGTAGGGATCTAGGTTAAGGGTTTTAGAGCCGCGCCATCACGTGGCACGTGCTACTCTCCGAGTCGTGCTGGGTGCCGCGCGCATCTCAATGAGTCGCGCGCACAAGGCGCGCGCAACTTATTGAGTTACGCTGGTTTGCGGTTTGCCTTATACGAAAACGTGTTTTTAAAACTTCCATAACTATTGATTGTAGAGTTGGATTAAGGCGTGTGAGATATCATTGGAAATATCTTAATGTCTACTTTCCAACGCAATTAGAATACGTTTAAAATACTTTATGTATCAAAAGTTATGGCCATTGGAGTGCAATGGTGTCGGTTTTAGGGCCCGGTTTAGTGTTTTGATCATAACTTCTTCGTTTTGGCTCGGAATTGGGCTTATAATAAACCGTTGGAAATCTTGTTTAAAGGGCTATCCATCTGTATAGGATTTTAATGGGAATTTGATGTTTGGTTCATCTGCTTGGCTCGGTTTTTCAACAATTTAGGTTCCATTGGATCCAATAATTGCATTGGACGCATTTTGGTCTTTTACTAATCAAGTTTAAACATGTATGAACATGTTTTAGGCCTAATTAGTAATTGGAAAAGGCTCTAAGATAAATTGGTCTCAAATATGAGTTTCAACTTACTTCATAATTCTTTTCATAGTCCATAAATATTTCAACTTTGATCTAACATGAAGAACGGATTTTTGCAACATCATCGCACTTCCTTTCGGGACAAGAGGCAAAAAGTAGGTGTCTACACATTTTCTTGATGATTATTGATAAATTTTTAATATAGTTAATTAAAGGAGTTAATGTGTTAGTTGAGTTATGGGGACGTAACTCCTTTTAGAGGGGGTAGAGGGCGACATAGTTTCGTGCATTTGCTTTTCAAGTCATTTTTTAGTCTTTCTTAAGCTACTTGGAGCCCAGAGTCGAGTTTGGATGTACACGAACCAATAATTTAAAATAATTTTTTTATCAGTCTTAGCTAAGTTTCGGGACGAAATTTCTTTTAAGGGGTAGACTAAAATACCCCGTATTTTTTAAATGTATTTTCTAACTAATTAATTTATTATTATTTTCTAAAAAGGGCATCTTAGTAACTTATTTTACTATTTGAATTTTGGAACCACTAGTGGAAAAAATCTCATTTGTAACGGGCAAAATTTTACCCGTTACAATTAAGATATTCGTAACGGGCAAAATAATGTCCGTTACGAATACTTATTTATTTGTAACTGGCGAAATAGTGTCCGTTACGAATACGTATTTGTAACAGACAAATTAGTACCCGTTACAAATAAATAAGTATTCGTAACATACACTATTTTGCCTGTTACAAATACTATATTACACGTAACAGGCATAATGTGCCCGATACAAATGCCCAAACTTGGCCCAACTTTTAGAGGAGCCCATTAAGCTTTTTATTAGGGTTTCACGGCTTTCACCTAACCGTCATTCACTCCCTCTTTCTCTCCTCTCCTCTCCTCCCCGTCATTCACCTCGTTCTGTAATTTCAAACTCAGTCCTTCTCTCCTCTCCTCCATCAATCTTAGAGAAAAAATGGTTACCTTCTATCGAATTTTAATTGCGAGTTGTCTCCAATTTCACAGCCTCTATTTTCCAACTACTTTGTTTTCATTGTCATTGTCAATGTTGCCGTTGTTGACTACTCTTCCGGTGAAGTCCGATGACATGCTTTCTGAATGGGAGAGAGTTTAACTTTCGATTGATCCTGGTGTTGTTCTACTTGATATCGCCTTTGTTCTTGATGATCCTAACCACGGTATTGGCTTTCTATTTTTATTTTGCTGATTTTGTATTTTAATTAGCTTTTGTGTCATCTGATTTTTCTAATGTTTGTGGTTTAATTTTCGTTTCAATTTATATTTTTTGGTCGAATTTTCATTTTGAGTAATATTTGCATAATCTGAATTTTCTAGCATTTGTTGTTTAATTTTCATTTGAATAATTGATTTTTTAGCTAATTTTTCATTTTGAGTCAATTTTGTATGCTCCGAATTTTCTAATGTTTGTTTTAATTGTTGTTTTTTTGGCTGATTTTTCATTTTGAGTCAATTTTGTATACTCTGAATTTTCTAATATTTGTTTTTATTGTTGTTTAAATTGTTTAATTTGTTATTAGTTTCCTCCTCCATTGCTGCATTTGGGGCCTCCACTCACCTTCTGCTCGCCGCCGGTGAGTCGCCATGGTCCACGTCGTCTACCCAACTGTAATTTCTCCCTTTTCCCTTTTTTTATTCTTTTTTTGTTTGTGTTTTCCATTTTATATGATTTTTCCGATCAATCTGCTTTGCATTCTCTCTGTTTTTCTCAGATTAGTTAATTTAAACATTTGAAATCACCTGGGTTTCTTTTATGTGTTTACTTTATTTTTTTTTTAATTTTATTTATTTCGATCTATTTTTGGTGCATTATCTCTGTTTTTACTGGACTAATTAATTCAAACAGTTTAAATCAGCTAGAAAATTTTTAATTGATTGGTTAATAAACTGAATTTTTAGGGCTTGTGATTTTGTGTTTCGAATCGTTGTTTTTGTTGTACAGTTTGTACATTTTACTTGATTTGTAATTTATGGTTTATCATGTTAGGGTAATGATCTATTTTTATATATGAAATGTTGCAAATCAGTATCTTATGTTGATTTGTTCTTCTAATTATGTTGCCTTTTTTTCACTAGTGTTTTATACTACTTATGAGTGTTAGGGGGTCATATTGCTCGTTTACTTTTACTCCGTAGTTATAAATAGAATTTCGATTGTCAGGGAGAACTGTGGTGAAAATATGGAGGAGTTTCTGAACAGACGTTTCTACCAATCTAGTCAGTATGATTCTACAGAAACCTTTGTGGAGCTAGACAAAAATCTCAGGCAACATGAGGTATCACTGATTATGTTGTGATATAATTCCTTAAATTTCTGAGTTTTCAAAGAGTTTTGTACCCAAATGTAAGCATGGCTTTTAAATACTTGTTTGTTATGTTGATTGATGAGACTGAGTAGTTGTCTGTCCTTGTCGATGACTTCTTTGCTGCCCTTGCTGGTACATTGTATCTTAATTTTTGAAAAAGTTAACTTGCTAAAATAAATATGAGCATCATTCAAATTTCAAAATGATTTATTTCATAATTTATACGTGATGTTTGCTTTTGCTTGTAGTATACTATAGATAATTTAGGGACATAATTGTGTACACTGACAAATATTAGGGACTGCATGATGTGATCTACTGATAATGACATGGATTCTATGTTTAGTCATGTAAGCAATGCTGGTTAGATTCATGTACTTCAGCTTTGTGAATGTCGTAGGCACAACTGCAAAGAAAAACCAAGCACTGGTTGGAATATCTTAAGATTCTAAACATTGTGGTTGATTCATTTTTTATCTCTTGATATGGTACTAATATTATCTTATGACTTATGGAACCTATTTTATTGTTAATGTAGTGTCCAAACATGAAAAGGATTGATGTGCTAATACTGACATTTGGATTTCTCATGTGAAAGCCTGAAATTTTCATATGGCTAGCAGGTCTCTGTAGAGATTTTACTTGTAATAGGGTAGATTTATTTTATTTTATTTTATTTTTGTTTTTAAATAGCAGCTTGCAAGAACCTTGTCAAGAATTTCTATACTATTGTCATGAAGATCACATGTTTAGCCTTTATTTAGACCATAATACCTTCAATAATGTAGGTTGGGGGGATTGCTAATCGACTCTTCTATTTGTCAATTCCACCAAACATCTTCATAGATGCGGTGAGATGTGCAAGTATATCTACATCCTCTGCAAATAGGTGGACCCGGGTCATTGTAGAGAAACCTTTTATTCGAGACTCAGAGTCCTCTGGCGCTTTGACTAGTGGACTAAGCAGTACTTGAATGAAGATAAGATTTTCAGGTGATTGTTTTTTACTGGATTTTAGTGCTTCTCTTACAGTAAAACACAAGTGTGACTCAATGACTGACCTATTGCTTGTTCTACATACAGGATAAATCATTATCTTGGGAAGGAACTTGTTGAAAACTTATCCGTTGTAGATTTGTGGCAGTTGTGCACTTGTGCTTATCTCACATCACTGCTCGTTAGCTTCTACGTACCTAGAACAACTTCCTATCAAATAACAGCCTATTCTAGTGAGTTGTAAACTCTTAACTCTTGCGTAAGTCTCCTGTTATATATGTTGTATTTATATTATCATACATTGGTTTTCTTACTTGAATTTCCATGTCTATCAATTTTCTTTATATTTTACAATTTATTTAAACACACATTTGTTGTTCATTGTATAATATACCTTAATGGCTTGGTTGTTGCTATTTATGATTGTTTACTATAACGCCCTAGTAATTCTCTATTTACACCTATGAATAACCTGAAGAAAATCCAAGAGAATTACTAGCGTGCTACCGCCATGCGTTCAAACGTTAAGACTATATCAGAAATTAGCAGCGGAAATACTAAATCAAATACAAATATGTTTCAAAACCAATAACCAAAACCAAATTATATCTAACAACTTGGAACCATTAAGGCCGTTATTCAAAACCCTACAAAAGTAGTAAATAAATAAAACCAGAGTTTAAATAAATTCAAACTTATGAAAAGAAATAAACTGCAAACAATAACCAACTCTCCACTAAAAATCCCACCACCTTGATGCAAGTCAGAACTATGTAAACACCTGTGATGAGTCTACTCCCCAATATTACAAGTGTAAACATTGGATCATTACAGTGCCATTGAAAGGCGAAGGTCATGACCAAAGAAAGACACATACAAAAGCACGCAATCAGCAAAGCTGAGTACAGACTAACAATCAATCATCATGCATCATTAAATTATAGACTCAACACACGACTCAATTATCAATTTTATTAAGACTTCACTAGTTAATATTAGCTAACTCATTTTATTTATTTCATTGGATTAATCCATAGACAAGGTTGTCCAACCCATGCTCCATTTGGAACATCAATAAAAGAAAACCCTATGCCTCCTTTCGGAAACATCAATAAACATCAAACGACCACGAGCGCGACTTCGTGACCGTAGTTGGATGAAATCTCATCCAACTTCTAGTTTTGAATAGTATTTGAAATAAGAGACTCGTAGATCAGACGACCTCGAGAAAAGTGCACGGCTAATACCCCGTGTACCCCAACCCTTGATTGTCATTACTCTAGATGTGCACCAATCAAGAGTTTTATTGCTCATCCATCTTGCACTTTACGTGATTTACAAATTTAGACTTGGTGATGACTCATATGCAAACAATACAATCAATCCATTATCAATTCAATCAAGTAAAACAATTTTCCAATTTCAATTCTTGATTTATTAGTGACAAGCAACATTTATTATTTATTCTTTTACTACCTCGGTGTATAAACATCTTGAGTGCATAAGGCACCCCAAAACCTTAACCTCGTCTTATAAGACTTAAATTCTTTCTTTACTCATTATGTTTTCATAATCATGAATGAGTAATAAATCAATCATTTCACCAATCACATACCTTTGCCTCTAAGCGCATCTTGCATAATTATAGCATAAACAATACTTGCAATATAGAATAGTGCACGTCATACAAAAATTCACAATGTATAACAAAACAATTTAACCCGGTCATCCCAATACATTATACTAAGTTCTCGATCCGTCCTTAAACATGCACCTAAAAGAAAGGTTTTGTAACTCGTACGTACCTTGAATAAACGAATTGGTACGCCACTTTACTATCTAGAAATCACCTTTAATAAACTCCTCTCCTAAACCAAACAATAACATCTCAATCAATACTCAATTAATAAAATTTATAGCAATACTTACTTTAAAACCTTCAATATCTAATTAATAAACAACATTAAACCTTCCCTTTAATTAAAATCAAATGTTTATTTATAGTACTTTAAATTTCCTTCGTGGAAACCTTAAAATACATCTTTTTCATGGAATTACAGCAAGTTTAAAACTTTATAAAAATCTGAAAATTATTTTAAAACACTTGATTAATCTCTCTTTTAATGGGTAATCAAACCCCTTTCATTAAAATCACAACACTACTACTTTTAATAAAATTCCAGTAATATATATTTGATTAAAACTCCTTAAAACATCCCTTAAAACATGTTTTTATACTTAATTAATCATTAGAAATGCAATAGGAACAAAAGCCCCAAATTAATTGATCATAGGAACCCTAAAATCCCAATTTAAATAAATTGAAACCCTAGGTTTTAAAATTATAAAATCTGAAAATTATAACAACAATTATAATCTTATAATCTGAAGTTATTAGTTTAAAACATCAAAAACATGATTTTGATCCCAAAAAGAAAACCCAAAACAATTTAATAATAAACATCACAATAGAACAAAATATAAGGAGGAGGAAGGTGAGGGTGGCCACGGTGGTTCGCCGGCGAGCAGGGGCGGCGGTAGCGTCGGAATTCGGTGGCAGGGGTGGCATTCCGAGCAGGGCAGCAGGCGGCAGGGAAGGCTGCCAGCCTTCCTCACGTAAGGAGGAGGAAAAGAAAATAAAGAAAGAAAAAAAAAGAACGAAAGAAAGAAGAAAAAAGAAAGAAAGAAAGGAAAAAAGAAGAAAAATAAAGGAAAAAGAAAAATAAAGGGAAAATAAAGAAATAAAATAAAGAGAAGAGAGTTTACTAACCTTTTAGTGTGGGGAAAAATTTGGGAATGTATGGGGTATTTATAGGAGAGAGAGGGTGGTGTAGGGTAAGTAGTAAGATTGGGCCTCATAAAATTAATGGGTCAATTAAGTAAGTAAAGTGAGGTTGGTTTTGATAGTTTGGACATGAATTATAGAATGAAGGTACATATAATAATTTGTACCAAAATAATTTTCGACCCGAATTAAAAATTGAAACTTTTGAAATTAAATTCCAGGAAAAATACAAATAAATATTATAAATAAATATAATTTTATTTATAATTTATTTGAAAATATGGGGGATTACATTTATTGTATATTATTCACTGGTTGTGGGGTTTCACTCCAAAGTTGATGGCACTATCTTATTGTTTCAATTGGATGCTAGTTTTGGTAACTGTCTAATGAAATTTCTGATGTTATTTGTCTTGGTCTTTGTAACAACTCGATCTGTACTAACCAATAACTCATAATATAAGGGAACTATCTATTACTCCTCTTTTATTGGTAATAATATGAATATTATCAAGAAAAATGCTATGCATGATCCAAAAGCTGAAATCTCCGCCATTAACAAAGCTTTGATAATTAGGAGCACCTTAAAAGTTGTAAGTTAGAATTGACTATCTTTAATATTGAATCATTTATGTGAAATCAACAGGAAAACTAAGGTAAACACCAAAGCTCCCAACCGTGGTAGAATCCATTGTTGCATCAGTTGTCCAGTGGATTGGCTCTATATTGATTCAAGAGGCCAATATATTATTCGATGTTGCAGATCAAGTACGGGGCCTTCAGCAAGAGCTTGAACTAATGCAGCATGTCTGAAGAGAGCTGGATCATGAGATTCGCTTGCTTCATGCATAGTGCCCCAAAGATGTATGAAGTTGAGAAGCATATATATAATATACGAGAAGAAGTTGATAAAATCATTGAAAAGTTAAATAGCTTTGGACTAAGAAGAATCAATGAAGTAGAAGGTTTTTAGTTTTAGTTGTTAGGCGATAATAAATGTATTTTTTTGCTGATTGTATAAATATGAAGTACTATATTTATCTCAATTAGTTAATCGATAATTGTGCTATAATTTTTATGCAAGTTAGCTAATCCAGCACAACATGTGCTGGATTTTTTTTAAAAATTAGGGTACACACTATCTGTAACAGGAAAATTCATGTCCGTTATAAATAACGGGGTTATTTGTAATGGGCAGTTGAAATTCCCGTTCCAAATAATTCGTTATTCGTTTCGGGCACTTGAAATGTCCATTACGAATAATGTGTTATTCGTAACGGACACTGCCCGTTACAAATAACACAAGCTATCCGTAACGGTGGCATACGTAAAGCCCGCTGCTTGTTACGAATAGGCCTTTTTTCCGTTACGGATAGCTATTTTACCACTGGTGAACCAAATCGATATTTGAATTTTGGAGCCAAATTGATATTTTAATTTTGGCGCCAAAAGTATTTTAAAATATATTTATTATTTTTGGATTTTGAATATGATTTAGGAAAAATTGTCAAAAATAATACAATATTTAAGCGGTCTGCTAAAAACAAGTCCACTTTTTGATTATTTTTAAATAATATAACCTTTGATATTTATCCGCTTTAAACAAGTTAAAATCGGTAAGTAACCTGATTAACATGTTATAGGGGACCTGTCATTGTTATTGGTTAGTTTATTTAATTTAAACTATTTTAATTTTCTCTTTGTTTTTTTAATTATTAAAGATATAAAATAATCATAATTTCTTATTTATTTACTTATTTTTTTATTATTATTACTTAAAAAAAAAACCAAGCCCTTCCCTTCACGGCCTTCAACCACCTCCTTCTCTCCTTGCCTGCAGGTTGTAGCCCTTCTGTTTCCCGACGCCCGACCCCTATTCCGTCGGCTATATGCTCCCTGAATTACTTCGTCGGCATCCCCTGCCAGCAATGCCTTTTGCAAGCCCTCTTCCGGCATTCTCTTTAAAAATCACTCGTAACCCTCCTTGTTGAATTGGGCTCGGAACGACGGAAAGGGATATGGATTTGGGTGGTCTTCGCCGATTGGTGAATGGGTGAAGATGGCTAGTTCAACGAGCTAGGGTTAGGAAAGTGGATTCGGGGGGGGGGGGGGGGGGGGAGGGTTGGGTAGGACTTTGCGAGTCGGGATTATGTATGGGTAGGTTCATCAATCGTCGCTGGTAGTGATGGGGCTTAGGTGGGGGTCGTCGGTTGTCACTGGTCACTGGTTTGGGTGTCAGTAGAGGAGAGATAGGGAGGTAGAAGAAGGAGTAGAGGTCTAGTTGGGGTGAAGGTGGAGGTGGTGGCAATTGGCTGCTGGTGGTTGTTGTCTGGTGAGGGAGGGGTGGGTCTTTGTTATAATAAAATATTTTAAGTTTTAAAAAATTAACCACATTTAAAGTTTTGATTAGGAGTTGATTAAGCTATTAAACAATTTTTTCAAATAAAAAAATAAAAGTAATCGGTCTTTTAGGTCGTAGGTAAATTTTCTTGTTTAAAGCAGATACCCTCTAAAGATTGTATTATTTAGAAATAATAAAAAAGTTAACTTGTTTTTGGCGGATCACTTAAAGGTTGTATTATTTTTTTTACAGTTTTTCCTATGATTTAGTATTCATTTATTTTATTTTAAAAATCAGATTACTTATATATGTTTCGGGGTTTTTTGTGTCGCTCGGGAGAGTTACAGCTCAAGACTGGATTCTGCAAGGTCGCCTATACCTGCAAAGCAAACGGATCACCGAATGGTTGGTGGTCCGCCTCCGAAGATTAAGTTAGTACGGTATTCGGAGTAAAACGTGCGGAAATAAAGTTATCTACTTGGATTCCAAGATCAGGTGTTGTCTGTTTCTTGAGAACGACAGCTATGTAATTAATGTCGATATGACGTCCCGTCATAAATGAGTGAAATGTCCCTATTTATATGGTCTTTTGGGGAAGTGTGCCCCCCTAGGGTTTGATGACCTAGGGATTAGGGCACGCTATTTTACGTCGCCTCAAAGTTTGGGCCTTTTAAGGCCGCCATTTCAGAAATGATATCTGAGTGACATGTATCGCACATCCTAAGTGGCCATTTGGGCGTCTCCCAGGGCGACACATGTCGCTCTCTCATTGGTACACTTAAGGTCATTAAATACCCAAAATCAAGAGCTGATTGTGCTCGACACGCGTCATCATCTAGAAGATCCATGCTGGTGCCCCCTCCAGCGACACTTGTCAAACGCTAATTGGGCCACTTGGCGGGGTATAAAATACCCAAAACATTTTCCCCTCACAAGGGTCACGTGCTTGGCACATGACGCTTGTGATAGGTGTTAGGCCATGAATAGCTAAGAAATTACATTTACTGTTCACTTAGTTCTAAGGTTTTACCCTAGAACATTTTAACCCCTCTATAAATAGAGGGGTTGACCTCCCTTGCATTCACATTTGCGTGAATCTTTGGGAGAATCTTTGAATTTTACTTGCAAAAATTTTTTGCTTCTTCAGCATCCGACAGTCGGCCATCTTAGTTTTCCTGCTCCAACAGACGCCTTAGACCGACGCCTTTTGTTACCTTCTTTTAAGGTAACCGCCTGATCCTTTCTTTACTTATTTCTATGCATTTTTTTTATCAAAAATAGTTTCCCAAACGCACCCAGCACGGCCTACATTAGTGGTCATCCACTCACCGGGGACGGGTGAATCTTGAACTAGGAGTGCCGAATGCTCGTTCGAGAACTTTCCTTTAAGTACATCTCCAAATCCGACAATGTCTGTGCCCCTGCAGGACACGATGGCTAGGATCAAGCAAACGACAAGGAGATATTGAACGGATTGTTCTTGGTACCATTTGGAAGGTGAGATTGTTTTTCAGACGGCTCCATTTGGGGGCCTGTCTCTGAAATTAGCAAGGAACCCCCAACACGTCAGAACTCCCACCGATTCATTTTTAGAGGAGTGTGATGAAGAATATGAGAACCCTGGGCCGAGTGGATCGATGCCGGATGCTAAGTTAGGGGAGGACACTACTGGCACTAGCCGACAGGCCCCCAGCTCGGAAGAGAACTCTGATGATGAATCTGCGTCATCATCCTCTAACTGCGTCTCCGTTGGCCCGGAGAAGGCGCAGTCAAACCTTAAAGCTGCTCGAGAGTCCCTCTCTGTTGATAAAGGAGAGGGCTGGGAGGAGCCGACTGCTTCCAGGCGGCATGAGCGTGCGCCTTATTATCTGCGGAAGATCATAAAGGATGATCTTGGAAAGTTTCTTTCTATCCATGTCATGGGACATGGGTTCATTTTGTCTGTTCCAGATGCTATAGACACGGTCACCTAGCCTGAGTTAGCCTGCTATGGTAACCAGTGCTTCGGCTGCAATAAAGCAGCCATCCAGGCAAGACTACGCTTCCCTCTCCATCCGGTTGTGGAGAGGATCTTGGATGGATACTTGCTGGGTATCTGACAACTAGCCCCCAATTCTTGGGTCAACATTCTGGGCTACGTTGCCGCCTGTGAGATGCTGGAGGTGGAGCCCAGCTTCTAGGCGTTTGCTCACATGCACTATTTGAGCAGAACTCCAAATCTAAGCGGGATCGGCTGTTTTACTCTTACTAGTCATACCCGTTGTATGATGACCCTAGGGAAGGAGAACAAATGGAACGACTGGAGAACAAAGTTTTACATAGTCTCTTCCCCAGATTTGCAAAAGAAAAGGCGGTACAACCGCTGGACTTAGTATCCGCCCCTCTTGGCTGGGAAGAAAGCCCTTCCTCCTGTTCCCAGGCGGACCTAGGAGTATATTTTTGGTCGGGGCCTTTTTACTGTGGCCGTTCGAACGAATAATGAGACGAGGGTTAAGGAAGTTACCCACCAAAGTTACATTCCCCGATTCAAGTGGCTCTCGGATGGGACGTACTTTATTGCCTGTGGCCTTAGTATAAAGAAGCCGCGAGGTAGATGGCCACTTGAATTTATCAGCTTTGTGACCCGCATTGTTTTTTATTCATTTCATTGCTAAGAATTTTTGTTGTTTGCTGCAGACATAGCAATGGCCAAGCTCCCCTATCATAAGAAGTCGGCTTCCTCTTCAACCTTCTACCGCTCGAACCTCAAGCGAGCAGATGAGAAGCCGCCAAGCGGCACTCCTCAGGTAACAAACTGTTCAGCCTTGGAAAATTTCTTCAATGAATTACTTAGTGTGATTTACATGAAGGTCTTACACTTAGAATTCCTTGCAAGGTGGCTCATCAAAGCTGCGCCCTCTTCTCAACCGGATCCCAAACTGCGCAAGCAGTCGGCAGGTGATATTTCCCAAATTCGTAGGAAACACAACGCCTCAAAGCCAAAGAAGGGTACAGGCACCTCCTCCCCCATTCGCACTCCCACAAAGCCGGACGTTCAGCATCTAGCGTCGAAGAGTGGCAAGTAGCCACTCACCACTGCTGGCGGCACAGTAGGCAGCAGTGAAGCCATAGGGGGAGAAGGAGGTAATTTATCCGATCATCCGACAATACGTTTCAAAAAATGCAATTGTCTTCAAAAATCTCAACTTATTGTATTTGTATTGACAGATGCTCCAGTGAGGCCGACTGTCCTTCAGATGGCCAGGCGGATGCTTAGGACGCTTGATCTTGAGGATAAGGCTGCCGTGAAAGGAGTTGGCACCCTTGACCTTAATGGCATACTGGAGCTTCTTTGCGAGGTAAGACTTTATCTTATGACTTGGTTGATATTTCTTGCCAATGGTTTCTGATGAATTTTCTTGTTTTGGACGACAGTAGGCTATGCTGCACGTGAGTGGTCTTAAAGGGCACTCAACAAAAAGACCAAGGAGGTAAAGGCAGCGAATGCTCGGACCGCCTCTGCCCTGGACAAAGCTCAGTTTGAGATTGCTCAAAATGAGATTCTGACACTTGATATGTTGTATTTCCAGGCGTCAGCAAATCTGCAAGTCCAGCAGAACTTCGACGCGGCAAAGCAGCGGGTGAAGGAGCTCAAGGACCAGGTCAAGGGCCTTGAAGAGAAGCGGGAGACCCTTAAAGAGGTGGAAACCAAGGCAACTAACCTTAGGAAGATGGTCAAGAGACTCCGAGGG